TTTGCTCGTTTTTACCTAAGTTGTCAACTTTTACTCTTTTTTTTGTTTATCTATTTTGCCATCATTTCTAGCCATCCATTATAGAGTGAGGATGAAGTCTCCGACCGACCGAGTCCCGAATCACTCGACTAGGGGCATTTTCATAAAAAAATCAAAAATCGAACCAATGTTACATGCGATGCGGCTTGCCTTAGGCAAGATGGGGTAGGGTGACTTTTGATCTTCCCTACACATAATAAACCTCTTACTCGAAACTCCGAATAGACCGAGTCATGAGGTTTCCTAGTAACCGTAATACTAGGTGACGACTCCAATCATCGGTCCTACATTTTCATTCACCGTCGACGTCGCCCTACGACAATGTAGGTGAAGTTAAATTATCTAATTAAGCTCCAAATTAATCTTGAAAAGTTGAATGATTTGAAAAATCCTTTTCCCCCTTTTCTCCACTATTTCGGCCTAACTCCAAAATTTTCCTTTTGATAAATTTTGATATTCTAGCTTAATTTCCTTGCTTGGTTAGTTGATTTAAAGTGTTGAGAGGTAATTTAGTGGAAATTCCTAAGAAAAATTTACAAGAGTTCCTTTTGGGTTTAGCTAATTTTCTTGCATTTTCTTGAATTTTTGCACCCATATTTAGAGCCAATTTTTGATGGACTTTTGACCTTATCTCTACCTGTGATTTGTTGTGATCTTAACCCTTAAATCAATTTTAAATCCTAGCCTTTCAAATGGATTCATTTTAGCCATTAACCTCTATTTTATTTTTTAGCCTTTCATCTTGCCTAATTCTAACCTCTCCTTTTTATCCTAGTTAAAACTCTTTAATTAACCCCTAATCATGGAGCTAAAAGTCGACTGGAAGGGTAGAAAAGCTTTCAAAATTTTGCTTCATTTTAGTCCCTCATTTTACTAATGTTTTCTTTAATTCCTCCTCCAATCATTCTTAAAATTTTCAATTGATTACTTTAAGCCATCCTTTAAAGATATCTTAACAACTTTTAAACTCCTTAATTTCATAGATAATTTAATTTAGAAGTTCAAACTTTTAAATTTATGCAATTAGGTTCCTAATTTTATGCAATTAGGCCCCTAATTCTAAAATTTTATTCTATACTTTTCCAAAATTTAATTTCTATTCATAGTAAATTTAAACCTTCCTAAAAGAATTTAATAATGATTTAAATAATTTTTATATATTTATTTAGGCCTCCACTTAAATTTTCTAGTGTGAAAATATACTATTTTCTATAGAAAATATTCCTTACATTTAGAAACAAATTCATCTAAAATTATAAAATATTCCTACACATTCTAAATGATTTTTCTATACCCTTTGAAAAATTTTCTTATACTTTTAAAGTACCTAAATTAATTAGTTTACCTCCAAAATACTATTCATGCAAATATTCACCACATAGCAAAAAATTCATACAACAACATAGAATAATTTAGCACCTCTCTAACAAATATTCAAAGGAAACAAAATATTTTTCATGCACATACAATATCTCAAAATAATTACTTCACACGAAATTACTATTCATGCATCGTAAAATCAATAAAATATTCATTGAGCATCGGAGGACTATTTTAATTGCTTTGAATAGTCTTTCAAGCCTTCAAAATATTTCTCATATTTCTTGAATACTTTTAATTTCATAAAATCTTAGTTTTAACGAATACCGGGTATTACGTAATGTAGGTCAACGGTGATAATATTCTCAAACGAAGAGGTCCAAGGTTAGGGTGTTATAGAAATAATTTAATTAATTATTAATTAATTTAATTTAATTAACAAGTAAATCATTTAATTAACACATAATTAATTAAACTAACACATAATTAATTTTTTAAACAATTAAATTAATAATTAACAACAAATAAACTTAATTTAATTAACAACTAAATTACTTGATTAACACATAATTAAATAAACTAACGCTTAACTAATTTTTTTATCAAACAATTAATTTAATTAATAACTAATAAATTAACTCTAACAATAAATAAATTAAACTAACTAACAATTAAAAAAAATTTAAATTATTGAAATAAATGAGAAAAAAATAATGAGTTACCAGTTGCACAAATGGAGTAGAACGAAGGAGTTGCTACCAACTCATGATAAAAAGGAGGAGTTGCTGTCTGCTGAACTATCCATGGAGAAAAAGAGGAAAGGGAGAAGGAAAAAGGAAGGGATAGAGGGAAAGAAGAAAAGAAGAGAGAAGGGGAGTTTGGAGGAGGCTGCCGGTGTCAATAGAGGAAATATGGGGGTGGTGGCGCCTGCTGGAAAAGAAGAAGAAGAGAAAAGAGAAGAAGAAGAAGAAGAAGAAATGGGAAAAAATTGGAAAATAGCTATTTAGGGGTTTTTTTTTAGCAACAGCTTTTGGTCCATCGCCAAAGCTTAAAATCCCTCTTTTTTTAAAAAAAATTTCAATTTTCCCTCAATGGTAACAAATTAGCAACGAGTATGAGAAATCGTTGCTAAATTCGGATATTGGCATTGATTTTACCAAAACCATCACTAAAAATCCATATTTTTTATGCTTTTAGTGACAATTTAAAATAATCGTCATTAAAACCCTCAATGTCTAGGGGTTTTAGCGACGATATGGAAAATCATCGCTAAAAACATCCCCGGTATTAGTGGGATTTTTGCAACAATTTATTGAAAACCGTCGCTAAAATCTGTCAAAAATTGAGGTTTTTAGTGACCATTTTACAAAAATCATTACCGAAAAGACTTAAAATTTGGTAGAATTAGTGATAGTGTTTCAAGGTCATCATTAATAACCTATTTTTTGGATTTAGCAACGATCTTCTATAATTGTTGCTAAATAAAAAAGGATTTTTAGCGACAGTTTAATAAAAACCATCGCTAAAAGCTCTAAAATTTGTTCGGATTTGCAACGTTTTCAAAAATATCACTAAATCCAAAATTTGAAACAAAATTAGCTACGGTTTACTCAAAACCATTGTTAATTCATGGTTTTAGAGACATATTTTAATACAATCGCTAAAAAACAATCGTAAAGTCCTTTTTTTTTTTTTTTTTTTGTAGCGAACAAGTAACAAGTAGACTAACACATCAAATAATGGTGACACAAATTAAAAATGCTTTAATTTTGAAAATTAATTTTAGTTTAATTTTATTAACTTTTTATTTTTAAAATTATTTTTTTGACACGTGTCACTATTATCTAATTTAAAAGTCTAACTTATTGTCCAACAATTAATTGTAATCTTATCGAAAAAAACAATATCGAAAGATATTAAAAATAGAAAGACCAAATAAAAAAAATTAGACTAAGAAAATGTAAAAAATATAGAACAAAACATGCTATTAATCTTTAACCAAAAATAGACCCACGTTTCAACACACAAAATAAAAAATATTGGAACCATTGCAAGCATGAATCTTGTTTGGTTATCGAAATAAAAAGTTTAGAATAGAAATACAAAAATCAAAATAAAAATTAGGAAATCGAAAAAAAGCATTTGTCTTCTTATACCGTGTTTAAAATAGTAGTAAGAAATCGAATGAAATTTAAATTTTTTAATTCCGGTTTTTAATACGAATAAAAATAATGATTAAAAAACTAATTTCATCAACTATGATAGTTGAAAAAATGATAGAAGTGATTGTGGTAACGATGGTGGTGGTGGTGGTGGCGAGTATGTTAGAAAGTCATATAAAACCATTCGTGGCGGTCTCACGTAAGAGTTTAAGCTTTTCGATATTGGTTTTTTAATATGCTATCAAAGAAATTGGTTTTTGACATGCTATCAAAACCTTGTTGATTAAGTTGTCACGAATTCAAATGTCACCACTTTCATTTATTTTCTAATTAATTAAGCATAATGAAGCATGAACATGTGCAAGTTTTAAATTCAAAGAGTTTTTACTTGAAGGGATGTGTTAGAAAGTAATATAAAGCGATTCATGGGCCTTATCTAAAATTTTTAAGTTTTTGGATTGAAATAGTTTTTTAACGTAATAGGAAGAGGATGGAGAGAAGATAGTAGTAATAACGAGTATAGTAATAGTAATAATATATTTTAAAAAAATTTATATACTATCACCATAGGAGATGGCACTCGAAAAAGAGTGATGGTGGTATAATAAAAATGATGATAATAGTGAAAGATGAGCGGTGATAGAATAATAATAATTTTTTTTTAATCGAGCATCGTCAATGATAATGGTGGTGGTAGTATAATAAAAGTGATGATAGCGATTAAAGAGAAGTGATAATAGATAATAATAATAATAATAATAATAATAATAATAGTAAAATTTTTTTATCAATATCGTCAATGGTGATTATAGCGATGATGATATAATAAAAGTGATGCTGAAGGTTGAGAATGGATGGTGACGGAATAATTATAATAGCAATTTTTTTTTCATTATTGCCAATAAAAGGTGGTGGTGGTAGTGGTAACAATAATTGTGGTGGTGATAGACTAAATAATAATAATAATAATAATTTTTTTTTATCATCATTGTCAATGAAAGTGGTAGTGGTTGTAAATATGGTAGAAGTATTTAATATATAATAAATAAAAATAATATATTATTATTTAAAAAAATCCTTATTTTTTGTTGTTATTTTCACATTTCATATGAGAATAATATTTTTAATTTTTATTTGTACTCTTCTTTCTCTTTTTTTACTTTATTTTTTCATTCAAATAGATATAAAATGAGAATAAAATTTTTATTTTTATTTATACCGTTCTATTTCTAGAAACCAAAAAAGCACTTATAAAGGTTATAAATCTAAAGCAGGCAAGACAAATGTGGCCGACATTGCAAACCGAAATACAAGCGAAATTTCGAGGACACTCGTAAAATAGTTTTATTTCCTCTTAAACCCTCCTTCCATCTTAAAAATTAAATAATAATAATAAAATAAAAATCTACTGCTTTCTCTTATTTCTCTCTCGATAAAACCTAACAAAACCGCCTCCTCTCTAACAATCAAATCGCCGATATGGGAACACCCGAGACTTCCCGAGAGCCATGTCCAGATCGTATTCTAGATGATATCGGCGGCGCTTTCGGCATGGGAGCCGTCGGTGGCTCAGCTTTCCACTTCATCAAAGGTGTCTACAACTCTCCAACCGGCACACGCCTTATTGGCGGAACTCAAGCCGTTCGCATGAACGCTCCGCGTGTCGGTGGTAGCTTCGCTGTGTGGGGCGGCCTCTTCTCCGCCTTCGACTGCTCAATGGTTTACCTCCGTCAGAAGGAAGATCCATGGAACTCCATCATCGCTGGGGCCTCCACCGGTGGCTTCCTCTCCATGCGGCAAGGGCTTGGCGCGTCGGCTCGCGCCGCTGTTTTCGGTGGCGTGTTACTGGCTTTGATTGAAGGAGCTGGAATTATGCTAAATAAGGTAATGAGTGCTCAACAGGAGATGCCTATTATGATTGAAGATCCTGTTCCTGCTATGGCTGTTGGGCATGGCTTTCCTATGGGCCAGCCCCACGCTCATGCCCAAGATGGTGCATCTGCGAGTGGAACGGAGTCGGGTTCGTGGTTTGGTGGGTGGTTCGGTGGAGGAAAGAAGGAATCAGAGGCGAGTAGTAGCGGAAGCAAGACTGAGATTTTGGAGAGCTTTGATGCACCACCAGTGCCAAATTTTGAATACAAGTGAAAAAAGAAAAAGAAAAATGATGAGCTTGTTGAGGGTTTTATTAACTTGTTATTAGTAGGAAATGATTTTGGAACTTGGGAAGTTCCAAACTTGTTTGAACTTGATTATTGTCCTCTTTTAATTTTATTTCTCTGCTTGAATTATGAAATAGAGTAGCATCAATGTATAATAATTCACTGCTAATTTATATTTCTTTCTTTGTTTTTGCATTTTTATATTTTTTTTATTTGTGTTGCTGAGGTTAAAATTTTAATGCGGCTAATTAATTCTCAATGATAATGGTTTACCTATGGGAAATAGTATCTTAATATCATGGGCCAAAAGTCTGGCTTGTTGAAATTCGGTTTGCAAATACAGTGTTTTTGGCTGTGCCTCCATCTTTTTATGATGCTGGCTGCAATATTTGCGGTGAAGTTATGTGTTTGAATTTGATGTTTTTTTGCTTGCGTCAATTAAATCTTACTTTTGTAGCTTCATCTTGTGCCTTTGCAATGCATGTTAAGGATCTGCTTCTTTAGCTAGTTGATAGGAATACGTGGATTGGATTTATCATCTTTTCTAGCTTGGGGCTTAATTTATCCTTTACGAATTCATGGATTTTTTGTGTTTTATTTTAGTCCTTGGTGGCTGGATTTCTTATCAATGTATGCGAGAGGTAGACATTGCATGTGATGATAAAGTATGGAGTATGTAAATAGGCATGAAGTTAGAAAACAAGATTTCATTTTTCCTACTTGGGGAGTTTGTCTAATGAGAGATATTGTTGATGGCACTGCTTTTTGGTGAGGCGTCACATGTGTGTGCTCTTGACCACTTTGACTATAAACTGGTATTGTTCCTCAACTTTCTAGTCTCTTCCTCTTCAGTCATAAAAACTAGGGGATTTAAATATACATGCTTATTTGTTCTGTGCTTGTTGAATGCATTCGGGAAATCAAGATGGAGATGGGGAGTGGAAGGTGGGTTGGTTGGGCGACCAAATATAGTTGGAGATATCTAAATATGTCGAGAATGAAGTGCATTAGCTTTAGCTTGCTAGTTGTGCTGGTTCATTTGCCGCAGCAGTTGAAAAATTGGATAGTTCCTGTACAGATTAGTTTTGTACTTGACACTAACTTTTACCTTATTCACTGATGCTGCCCCCTTCGAATTAATTTAGGTGGAGGAAAGAGGTTGTGTGATTGACCTGCTTTTCCTTTTGATGGGTCTGCAATTGTTAGCATACCAGAAGAAATATGATTCAGTGCTCTCTAACAGAATTCATTTACATTAATGTCATTTTATTTTTTGTATTATGGCCACTTTGGCTACTGAGTATAAGTTCTAGTGATATGGAAATTTAAGTGGCAATAATTTGATTACAATCATGATATCATTTCTTGTTTCTCCGTTGGTCTACTTTGGCATGTGTTTTGAATCTTTTTTTGTAACTAATGTTTGTTTCTTGAATGATGCAGCTAATGTCATTGTATTTCTTCTATATAAATCTGGAAGTCATGCTGCAAACAAATTTAAAATACATCGACCCTTGGATGTTCACCATTGGTTCAGGCTTTCTTCCGAAATTGTGCTCTCAATGATTATTTAAGATAAGTTGCTCTGCTTTATTTGCAACTCTGAACATATGTTTATTGATGATATCCCTAGAAGTTTCTACTCTATTCTTGAGGAGTCCTTTTTGCTGAATTTTGAGAGCCTCACTGTTTACTGCTATTTATTCTGTGATCTGATTGTGATATTTTCTGCCGCAATCTGTTTCTTTGAGCATTCTGAGCCGACTCCGGTTCTGCTGCTGCTGCTGCTGCCTTGCTTGTGTTTTGAGTCTCGTAGTGTCGTCTAAGAAATTGCCTTTGTTTATGCTGTTGCGGCTGTAAATGCATGGATTTGGTTGATATTTTGGGTATCGGTTTTGCAGTTTATCACGGGAGTGTATTTGTACAGTGGCTGTTGCTAGAAAATTTCAGGTGTTTTTAAGTGCAATCTGTTTGTTGTTTGCTGTTAAATGTAAAGCTTCTATTAATGATTTCTTGCTTTGGCCAATATAGGGTTTGGTGATGTTTGACTATTTGCTCCACTGAATATAATTTTGGGGGTTTCAATTTGCTAGCTCATGTTTAATTAGCGAAGGCAGAGAGCCTCACTGCCATTGCAGGTGTAGCTGAAAATACTTAGTTCTCTAGCTCATCAACCGATATCTGCTTTCACTCCTTGCACGAGAACGGTGAGCTTAAAAAAAAAAAAAAGTGACAGAAAAAAGAGTCATCACCTAATATTAAGTAATTATGTCTGATTATAGTTTTTAGTTAAAGATTTGGTTAAGTATAAAAAAAGATAGTTTTTAAGTAAAGATTTGGTCAAGTATAAAAAAGATAAAAGCATAAAAAAATAAAAATCACTTTATTATGTTCTATTAGAGGTAGATTGTATTAATATTAATAAATTAATTAATTGAGTAATTTGGGATTTGATTGGTTTAAAATTTTATTCTCACTTTCAAGTCTTATCCTTAATCATAAACCAATTACTTGAGTGATGTTAGATTTAGTTGGTTTAAAATCTTATTTTTACTTTAAAGCTTTATTCTTGCTCTAAAATAGAGGGTAACTGAATTTGAGCTAAAATAAAATAAATTCTAATGAAAATATCCAATAGGTCCGAAACCTTTTATTCACGCATATCAAAATGAAAAGAAAACTCATGTGATAAAAAAAAAAAAAATGAAATCTAAAGTCATAGTTTTACAAAGATATACAACTAACTATTATGAATTTGAAAAGAAATGCGGAATCAACAGTAGCATCATGCATCTGTCTAGATCTATACATTATGGCATTGCAAATGGAAAAATATTATTCATAAAACATAGCTCAACTCAAATATAAAGTAAAAATCTTAATATGTAAATAAAATTCAACTCAAATAAAATTCAAATATAATAACTAAACTATGATTAAAAAAAAAGTTAAAAAGTATGAAATCGAGAGCCATAGTTTTGCAAAGATATAGAACTAACAATCATGAATCTGGAAAGAAATGTGGACCAACTATAGCACTTCACATCCGAATCCATACATTATGGCATCGTAAGTGGGAGGATGTTACCCACAAAATATAGCTCAACTAAAAAATAAAGTAAAAATTCTAGCATGTAAATAAAATTCAATTAAAATAAAATCTAATTATAATAACTAAAGTCCTAACATTTTATCATAGAATTATAACTTAATATATAAAATCTCAAATTTTTTAACACAAGTCATAACTAAATATATTTACTAAAACATAAAATTATATACATATTAGAACTTCAAATATGATCATTAAAAATTGAGTCATCAACTAACAAAAGATCATAAAGATAAATACATAATAAAATTCAAGTTGTCACCGAAACCTAATAACCAACTAGCCAAAAAAATAAAATTCTAATTCTTTCACAAGAGTGTGTCGAAGGTGCGCCGACTACATCATCAACATCTATGGAGGCCTTCGAGTAAAAAAACTCTTCATCTACACTAAAAGACAAAACATGAGCTAACGCTCAATAAGTATGGTTATGCATGTCATTTTATAAAGTTTTTATGATGTATGTGAATATATATTTTTTCTTGATATGGGTACTTCATTAGACGTTACGTCTTGTTTTCTTTTCCTTGACCAAAACTATATCTTTACCAAACTTGCTTTTGCCAAAACTTATGTCTTTCATGCATAGCATAATTTTAATGCATTTCATAAAATATTTAAATCTATGCTCATGATATAAATTCATATAAAAATATACCTAAAAACTCATTTAACCACATGACAAATTCACATGTAAGGTCATTGTGGTGAGTTGGACAATGCTTATCTTAGTTTCTTCTTCAATTTAACAATTATCCTCCTCAAGTAATTTAATTTCTATCACTAAAACAAGTTACAATAAATCTTCTACTTAAATTAATAAACTCATAAATAGACTCCTTACTCAATAATTAACTAATAAATCTCAAAATTTATATTTTACTATTTATCATCTTTAATCTTTTTAAAATACTTTATCATCATAAGAATACTTTCATAAACTACATACCGAAACTTCAACTCAATCTAAACTCTACAACATTCTACATTTATAAATTTCAATTGAATTCATTAAATCCTAAAATAATTCATATAATAAAATCTAAGTGATGAAACTCTAAATTTACTTTGTAAATCATTAACCCAAGACAATTAATCATAATCTAACCGATTAAAATTACTTGAATTATACTTATTTCAAATGAGTCTCAAATCCCTAACTTCTTCAATCCTAACTCAAATAACCAACCCATCATAATTCATCATCATTATAATCATCAATAACCATATAAGAATACATTTCTTTATTTATTTTTTTGTAGGTACAAATTTCAAGTTCAAGGACACCAACTCTCCAAACTTCGATCTTGTTTAATATCAACTTAGATCATCAAAAACTAACATAATCTAATGCTTTTTTTTTTTTCTACGGTGAAATAAGTTAAAAATGGGTGAGAGATGGTGGAGAGAATTTGAGAGGGTTAGAGAGAGGATGTGCAAGATGAATAAAATTAAGACACACATAAATATACACGTGCATAATATAAAGAAGAAAATTCTAGATGTTACAATCCTTCTCTTTTTATAAAAATTTCATCGTCAAAATTTACTCACTAAAAAGTCCGAGCTACTTGATCCTCATCATTTTTTTTTATGTAATTTCTTCCACAATATGATTCTTTCATAACACTTGCACCAAAGTATGCTCTTCGTTCCTTAGCTTCTTAATCTCTTGATTCAAAATGTCAATTGGCCTTTCTTTATAGGTCAAATATGTGGCCAACTTTAAAGGTTTAAAACTTAGTGCACAACTTCAATTGTCAAGGTACTTCATCGGTATACACACATGAAACACGTAGTGAACTCGGCTAAAAATGAAGGAAGGGCTAATCGATAAGTTCTATCTCTAATTCTATCCAAAATCTCAAATGATC